CATCTGCAAACTTGCTGAAGGTGCACTCGAACCCATTGTCCATGTCTCCAGCAAAGATGTTAAATAGCACTGGTCCCAGTACTGACCCCTGAGGAACACCACTCGTCACAGGCCTCCACATGGACATTGAACCGTTGACCACAACTCTTTGAGTGCGACCATCCAGCCAATTCCTTATCCACAGAGTGATCCATCCATCAAAACCATGTCCTTCCAGTTTAGAGACAAGGATGTCGTGTGGGACAGTATCAAATGCTTTGGATAAGTCCAGGTAGATGATGTCAGTTGCTCTTCCCCTATCCATCAATGCTGTAACCTCATCATAGAAGGCCATCAAATTACTCAGGCAGGATTTGCCCTTAGTGAAGCCATGTTGACTGTCACCAATCACCTCCTTATTTTCTATGTGCCTTAGCATAGTCGCCAGGAGGATCCGCTCCATGATCTTGCCGGGCACAGAGGTGAGACTGACTGGCCTGTAGTTCCCTGGGTCTTCTTTTTTCTCCTTTTTTAAGATGGGGGCTATGTTTCCCCTTCTCCAGTCATTGGGAACTTCACCAGATTGCCACGACCTCTGAAATATGATGGATAGTGGCTTAGCAACTTCATCTGCCAGTTCCCTCAGGAATCGCAGATGCCCCTCGTCTGGTCCCATGGACTTGTCTACCTTCAGGTTCTTAAGATGGTCTCAGATCTGATCTCCTACAGTGGGCGGTTCTTCATTCTCCCAGTCCCTGCCTTTGCCTTCTGTGACTTGGGCTGTGCCGCTAGAGCTCTTGCCACAGCAAGAGCTAGTTTATATCATCTAGTTTATATCTACTAGTTTATATCACTAAACTAGTAGAGCTCTGCATGTTTCTGAGAGCAGTCAGGCCTATCTCAGGAAGATGAATCTATCTCATTATCTGTGAAATGTACTGTGAACTACTAGGTGACTGAATTCTGTCAAGAGCTCTGTGGCCTCACTTGTGGTCTGATCCTGACAGATCAGAGCTCAATGCTACCACTCAAAAATCCCTTAAACTTCCAGAAAAAGGCCCTCAACTTCTGAAGACTAAACCTATCTTTTCTGTTCACCAGTGCACCTTGTTTGACAAGCAACACTGCAAAACTGAGGTGGCACTAACCAATTGTGGGAATCCTTTTCTCATCTCCTCTCTACCTATGTCAAAGTAAAGATAAAAAAAAAAAAAAAAAAAAGAGAGCTAGTGCCTGCATCTGCATGAAGTGTGATCTGGCTAGTCAGCTGCCTGTTCGTTTTCCTCATACAGGAAAACAGGGTCTGAATTAGGATGACAGATCAAAATGACTGGGGGCATAAAATTTGTCCTCTAGTCCTGAAGAATGCATTAAATATTATTACTAATGGTAAGGTAAGGAAATCAGTTGTGGCATACCAAAACACAATTCTGCCAGACACAGGACTCAGGCCTCCTGTGCTGAAACTGAAACATACAGGGTGGAGTTTGTATGCCTGTCTATGATGGTACCGACAGACACAGGGACAGCAAAAGAGGGGCTGTGTGAATGCGCCACGTATCTGGAGCTTCTGTAAATGCAGAAGGACAAAACTTGCTGAACCTCTTCTCCTTATTCTGAATCTACAGCTAATTTGTGCCACGTGGAACTGACACTGCCACAGAGAAGACCTGAAAGCTGCAGAGGTAGATTCAGAAGACCATTTTAGGTCCTCTGATGTAGGTGATACATCTACTTAACAAAATGCTCAAACCTCATTCCTCTCCATGAACTACAGGAGGAGGTGCCATAACTTTTTGTAGGTCTGTGTGTATACACAGAGCCAGCGACAGTGACACCACCTCAGCTGCAAGTGTTCTTGGACATGCTAAAGCTTTACATCAGGGCCACACTGAGTAATGGTACTTTCCTCTTCTGTCCACATAGATCCATGCCTAAGTATGTGTATAATAATAAGGCTTCTCATGCAGCAGCTAGACCAGCATGAAAGAGTTAGCCCTCCCAAATTCCTTGTGCTAAGATCATCACAAAGAAAATGAGAAACATGGCACAAACTGGCATCCCCAATGTCACCCAGGGAATCTCTGACAGACCTAAGAGTCAGATTTGGCTTTTTTCAACAAGAACAGATCCAGTTCTGTAACTATTCAGAGATACAGGCCAGGAAAAGCCAGCCCAGAACTTGGGGGGTGCAGGTACATAGGTCAGGAAGGACAGCACAGAAAAAGTGACACAGTTGTATTATTTGAACATGAATTGATCAAGTTCATAATCACAGACTGATAAAAAAGGAAGCTAAGAAACAAATGCAGCCACCAACAGAACACTCACATCTCTTCTGTTCTGACCCGTTCCCCAAAACTATCATGTATTGATATTAGAAACAGACTTTGGAAAACTGAAGCAGGCTGTTCTTCAACCGTAGCGAAAGAGCACCCACAAACAAAATCACATCAATTAAAAAAGTGCTTGCTTTGGTTTAGGAGATGTCAGAGGATGGTCAGATGTCTAGAAACAAGCAATCAGTTGGTTCTTTCTGTTCTAGTTCACCAAGCAGAATGTAGTAATGACTTCTATGGTTTTGGCTCTTGTGCTTTTAATTTTCCCAGCCAGTTCACTGCAGTAAGTTCACTTGTCTTACCTACCACATCCTTAAAATCACACTTAGGGATGATATACATACGCTCTTCACAGAGACGACCCATCCAGCCATCCGGACATGAGCAGGCATTTGGTCGCTCACAGACACCCCCATTCTGACATGGGAACCGACAGACAGCTGAAAACAATAGAATTTCATGACAAACTCAAGATCGTTAATTAGAAGCTTAGTAATTCAGCATCTTGCACCAATCTTTGCAGTTGTAAAGTTTAGAGTAGAAAAAACAAATGTAGTGAAGTTCAGAAACACAACTTGACTTTGATTTCAAGGGCTACATCGTTTTCTGGCTCTGTGTGTCTGACTAGGTATTGCAAGCGAGAGTGTGGGAATCATTAAGACAATAAAAAATTGTCCATGGCAAGAATGAAAACTTAAAAGTTTTTAGCATAGTTTAGGCTAAATTATTTGGACAATGTTTCAAGGCTGACACTATGTTTTATCAGCTTTTTCCCGCTCATTTTTGTAAAACAAAACAAAAACCCCACCCCCCAAAAAAACCCTATTACCTTTATTTTTTTTTTCCTCTTCTAAATTAGCTCTAAAATAAAATCAAGCTTTCTTCTAACGTTGGAATGAAACACCAAGGTAATGCCATCTGGCATAATATAGGGTTTATTGAAAGTAAGATTAAACACTGTGGTAGAACAAGCAATTTTTATTGCACTATCATCCAGCATAATGAGAAATGACCAACAAGGGTGCAGCAACAATGACCAAAGTGTGACTATAAACCTCACTTAGCATTCATGTTGACTGCTGCACCTTGGTTCGCATACCTGTTAATAAGCACCTGATCATAAAAGTGAGGAATTTGAAGTGGACTGTATCATGCTAGCCCAATATGTGGACTGGACAGGCTTTGGACTTCATCATTATTTCTATGACATTGCACTGTATCTTGGCCAATACGTCCAGGAAACCAAGACTACTTTACAAAATCGAGTGGCAAGCTAAGTACAAACATGTTAGACTCAAAGATCATTGGAGGAACTACAATCCTTGTCATGTTGATGTACATACCATATACAGAAGATAAAAAATTGTGGCTTCCAGATGATACTACAGAACAAATAAGTGATCAGACTAACTTCTAATTAGAGGTAGTTACGAACACAGAGTAACCTCAGGAAACTCAGTCTGAACTGTTAATTGCATCCTATCTTTAATTAGTTACTAGGTGAGCAAAATACAAGTTTAGGCTTTAAGTGTTTCAGACCTCATTCACTGTTAGTATTACATACAAACACTGGTTTAGTGCACTGAAACACTGTTAAGACCTGAGCTTTGCATTGGAAAGAATGCTAATCTTCCCCTGATAGAGTCAAACTTGAGTCACTCTTGCAGCAAAGCCATGCCAAGCTGCAAGCTACAGCTTGAAGTCTGTTGAAATGAGGCCATAGCTTTTGCCATGTTATTTTTCAGCCTCAAGAGCCTTCCCATCAAATGCCAGCTGATAATGAGAATGGGAAGAGAATTTAGCCCCTGGCAGTTCACAGAAGTTGCAGTATTTTAACAGGTATTTTGAACAATTTTTGTTGTAAAGATATCTATGACTATGCAGACAGCTTGTCTCTGGGTGTTGACTAAAGCAGAACAGTGTGCCAACCAGATTTCTTTTGTGCAATGAAAAATTATGAAAGTTGAATCAAAAAACATTTAAAGCTTTCTGTGACCCACACCACTTAAACGATATCCCATGAATGTATAATGGAATGGGAGGTAAAAGGCTTGTGTGTAAATAATATCCCAAGTTAAATTCAAAGCCTATGAAAACTGGTCTCTGAAATGTATTGTCCCTTCCTCTGTCAATGGAGAAGACATGGATATTTCATGAATTACAGAAATCGCTCTGGATTGCAATTCCATCCTGCTCAGCGATCCAGGATCTCAGGTAGAGTTAGGCTTTTTCCTGGATTTCTGCCCAGGCCCTGGTTGTGAAACTGAATGAGTAAGACAGTATCATCCCTAGGTGTGCACTTGTTATACATCAATTCGGGCAGGCAGAGACTCTGTGTCTATAGCTGTGGGGATTATTCTTCACTCGACAGACAAGACTAGAGAAAGGCTTGGGGCGGGAAGTTAAGCTGGGATCTCACTCTCTTTTTTTGCTATCGTAAAAGCAGGCAGGGCAAATGCAGTCCTGATGTGCTAGGGAGAGGATGAGAACCATTAACTGTGACTTCAGTTAGTTGCAGCAGATCTCACATCCATGGTATCAATCTTAATCTTTGAGATCCCCTTGCAAATAGATGCCTGAGAGTTAGCTCCACAGGACACAAAAGCACTACAATGCTGCAGGACAAACATGGGTAAGAAGGATAAAAAATAATTTCTGATACCTGTTTTCGGCTTTGGCAAAAAGCTTTCCTGTGGTTGCAAGCGAACAAATTCCTGCATGTTTCAGCTGCCCTCTCATAATGCTCGTTTGCTGATGGGGTACAAACTTTTTGGTCGGCAGCTCCACACTGACCACTCCCAGTCAGCAAAAGGTGGGCAGAGGGACAAGAGACAACATAGATTTTAGAGCATTTCAGAGAGAAAAAACTGGGAGTCAGACAAGCTGTGTGCATGTGTGCAGCCTGCCGAGTCCTGCAGGTGTTTACAATCGGCAGATCCAGGCTAATACTTCTCACCCCAGAAACTCAGATCAGAATCTGGCCTGCAACCTCTAACCAGCAGTGATTCAGGCAAGTGCAGCTATGGTGAGAGCTCTCCCAAAGAAGCTAACGAAGTCTGCTTTTTAATTATAATATTTACGTTAACTAACCTGTTCAACCGGGCCAGAACATTTCAAGCAGGCTTAGGACACATTAATAATCAACTCACAGAGCCAAAAACAAGAAATGCAGCATGAGTCATTATAAAGAGTGCTTTCATGTCGCTTCTGATGTAGACCACAAAGGCTTGGGTCCTGTAGGCCTTTTGTTAGGCAAATCCCTCAAATGAATTATAAAGCAGTTTTGAAAGATTATTTTGACATGTGTCATGAAAACACAGGTCAGTCCTCTCAGAAACATCTTTGGTCCTTTTTAGTTCCCCTTTTAGGTGAAAAGAGGTGAGGAAATTGTTATTCACCTCCCTTATTACACCAACAGGCAGGTTATCCTGCTTTCTTTTTCTACGCTACACCCTGATCATCTGTGCACCTCACCACTTTGATTTTTGAGATAATTTTCCGTGACACTTACTCCTTTGAACAGTCTCAGTAGAATCCATGGTGTTGCAAACAGGACACATGTTCAACAGTGCTTTGCAGATCAGCCTTCCCAGGTTGCTAGTAACCAGTGGCAAGAGCTTCCCTTAGCAGAAAACTACAGCCCTTGGCATAAAGTAGGGTTCTGTGTAACTAATAAATATTAAATAATAAAAAGTAAAGCCAGTGATATTAAAGGGGCAGCTGAAGACTTTGAAGTGTTACAATCTGAAAAGATAATAGCCAAATAATTTTCCTAATGAATTCTAGCTTAGGTAGAGTAGCTATTATGAAGAGATCCCTTGAATTCTGTAGCCACCATAGTTTAGGAAGAAATGACAAAATACTTGGCAAACTTTTCAGAAAGGGCTCGGTGCTTTGGGACTGTAAATTTCTAACACAACTTTTGGATATCTCTTGAGATCTGAAGTAACTCAGGTGCTTTTACCAGAAATCTTCTCTACTTGGCTACTTGACAGGTGTTCTTCATGGCAATGGCAAGCCATGGTCACATAACCAGGAGAAACTTGTTTTTCAGGAGCAGCTTCTCTATTCCTGAAATGTTCAGGAGCTGTAAGCCCACTTCTTTGGCTCTGGATCTCCTCAAAATGATCTACTGGTCTGTGATTTTTAGGCAAGGCAATTACAATGATCAGATACAGAATTTTAACATAGTGCCTGCTTTCAAAGAGTAGGGCAACTCAGCTTGTCTAGGTCTTAGCATTCATAACATTTTGCTGTCCGAATTCATATTAAAAAAACTGTCGAGGGGACCCTGATTAGTCAGCCTTAGCACAGTACAGGATCCTCCATCTCTGAAGGGCTTCTGACTTAAACAGAAAATGGCCAAGGAAGGAGGAAGCATTGTTGCTTCTGTTTTCAACACAGGGAGGTGAGACTTGCAGGGGCAGAGGCAGACTTCACAACTTTTGATGATGGCTCTAATGTCCCCAGATGAGCGTTCTGTCACCTCTCCTCTTCTGTGGGAGTTCTGAAGCTTAGGGAATGGGGCTGCTTGTGACTGGCCACTGATGTGTTCTAAGGTTTTTTACTTTTTAATATATTTCTAAACAAAAAACCTAAGGCTCAGTTTGTAGTATGGTTATAGCATCTGAGATAAGACTTCAGGCTGCAGCTAACTCACTGCTCTACAGTTGCACATCAGCAGAAGGCTGGTCAAGCTTCTGATACGGAAATGGCAGACGGCAAGGTCTCTTCCATCAAAGCCCTGTGATCCTAGAACCCTTTTGCTATGCCTCATGCTTAGTTTTAAGTTGGTATTTGAAGATGCTTGTATCTGTTTTTAACTGTTTTGTTTATAATCTCTTCTATGTTTTGTGCTGGTTTCCCCCATCTTCTATTCACAACTTTTTATTTATTTGAATCTTCTGTGTGGAAGAGTTAATTCCACAATTTAAACAAGTAAATGTTTTAGCTTAACAAACCATGAAGTGACATTTTCCTGATGGTATGACAAGGATGGAAAGGTCTTTGGCACTTTGCAAAAACCATAAATTTTCTGTAGCACTTAGTGCGTATTATTTAGTGAGCTGTATGAACCTATCCTTAAGTATTTTATTGCAAAACAATTTTCAGGAGCTGCCAAGCTCTAAACATTGAGACAATAAGCACCCATTGGATCCCTTACTTTTGTTTTCTGCAGTGCTTGATCTTTGACTGTGAAAAACTGACTGGCAGAGCTCATCTCAAACAGCTCAGCATGTCAGAAAGATGACTGGTTCTGTCACTTTCTCACAAAAGATGTGAGGAGACAGGATCTTAGGTGTGGGATACAACACTGTAGCAAAAGAAACTGTAACATTAACAAGGACTAAAGAGAAAAATTGTAGCAACACCATGCACTTTAAATACTCTGGGTGAAACAATGACTGCACCAAAACTAGCAAAAATTTCAATTTCATTTTATCGCAGCTAGGATGACACGTCCGTGCTTATGGTAAGTTAAGATATGCTTCTGTTCTTAAAAAAGACTTACCTTTGCAGGTAGGTGGTGTTGTCCATGTTCCATTTTCTAAGCAAATGCTCCGCAGGGGCCCCTCCAGCATGTACCCACTGTAGCATGAATAGGTGATCATGTCTCCATACTGGTAGAAGCTACCACGAATTAGAGCATTCTCCGTGTGAGCTGGGGGTCCGCAAGAGATCTCTAAACAAAAGAAATCACCCAGAGGTTGGTGAGCTGCAATGCTAACCACCGACACAGTGCCTTGCACGAAGGACCTGGGAGATGCCAGAGAGACACCTCTGACGGGAAATCAGTAATGAGGACTTCTTCATGGTGCAGGCACTCACAGGGAGAACCTGTACGCACACCCAGTGAGCAGGGAGATGGCAGGAACCACAGTTTTAGGTAAAGCAACAATGGCTATATCCACCATATAGACCAGAAACTTTTAGATGGTCCCAGGATACATGAGTCTGGGTTTGCAGAGTGAGGTCATGTCATTATCTGAACTAAACAATATCACTTGCAAGAAGCCAAAAAACTTTCAGACATGCCTTCTGTCAGTGTCAATAAACACAACAAGAGGCAGTGCCTCTCTCTACAATCCTTGTCTCATCACCCATCATCTCATAGGAATCATTCTTAGGACATTTAGAGTATTCAACGACCAATCCCAGCTCCAGTGCTTGCAAAAGGTCAATTGAGAAGAAAATTACAGTAGGGCCTAGTAGATAGCAGGACAAATGCTCTTGGGTCAACAACCCACATAGACATGATCATTTTAAAGAAACAACTCTATTAGAAAGAAAGAAGAAACAGCTCTTCTCTAAAGCTTCTTAGGTTGCCTGGATCTCTCAGAGTGACCCACCTCTCCAAATGGCAATAGCAGACAAAAGCTCTCTTCCAGAATAACTGCATCTAGGTGGAGAGCTCTGCTGCCATGTCTGTGCTGTCATGCTCCTATGTGATACAGCTGTGGTCACCAACCCTCTGGAAAGTACCAAGTCCCTGAGGAACTGTACCTCATGTACTTACTTTCACACTTAGCTGTTGCAGGAGTCCAGGTCTCATCAGCATTGCAAGTGATCACGGACTCCCCTTTCAGCTGGTAGCCTTCCCTGCACCTGATGGATACGTTCTGGCCAACATAAAAATCCACCTCGGACAGAAGGGCATTCTCTGGGATTATGAAAGGCACAGGACAAGGGTTTGCTGTTCAAAGAAAGGGTATGAGGGAAAAGGAGAGGGGAAGAAAAAGGCATGGAAGGAAGGAAGAGAATACTTTAGAATAGTTTCTGCAAATTTCAAAATCAAGTAATATGAAAAAGCAATAGAAATGGATCCTGCATGCAAGTCCAATTTGTAATTTGATGTGAAGTTGAGATTTGAGTTACAAAATAAAAACAAAAGGTTTGATTCTCTGCTGTCACATGGCTTGCTACCATGCTCTACTGATGCCAGTAGAAGACATACTAAGGATTTAAGTGGGTAATATCGTACTTGTTACTATCAAACCATTCTTTCTTGTCCTTCCCGTTTACCATAACATTACCATAAAAAAAGACAGACCTACGGCTAGACCAATAAAGAGCAGCAAAAATCCAGGTCTTTTGAGCAGAGACTTACAATAACATTCATTAGAGTTTAGAATTTCTCTGATAATCATACTTATTGCTGGCTGTAAGCTTGCTGAGCTATTTTTGCATGGTCTATTGATCTCATCATGAATGTGGAAAAGGTTGGACTCTATATACAGCAGGGATTGATGCCAGTTTCCTGAAACTAAAATCCAATGAGTCCTTTGTAATACAAAAATCAAATGTCTCAGCAAACCACCCTAAGACTACAGTAGACTTTAAAATTAGTTACAGACACATATAACAACAAGGAAAGCTAATGGGGGTGTGTGTGCTCAACGCACATGTGTGTAAGGTGCTATTTCACAGAATCACAGAATAATTTATACAGCCATTAAGTCCAACCTCTTTCTCAAAGCAGGGCCAACTAGGTCAGAGATTGCTCTGTGACTTGGCCAGCTGAAATTTAAGTCTCTCCAAGGATGGAGATTTCATGTCCTTTCTGGGTCCCTGTTCCTGTGTTTGACTGATAAGACAGTGAAAAGTTTCTTCAAATACTGAATTGGAATTTCCTTTATTGCAACTTATGTCCATCACCTCTCATTCTGCCACTGTGCACCTCTGAGAAGAGTCCAGCTCTTTTTTTTTTACACGCTCCCAATTGTCAATTGTAGACAACAATAAGGTCTCTCTCTTGCCTTCTCCTCCAAACTTTTCTCTCACCTGCTCCTCATATATCAAGTGGCTGACTACATTTGACTCCCATTTTATGTCAGCTTTCCAACTAAAAGGAGTTAATGCAGAACACAGCTTGTTCTTCCACTGTCACAAAAATACACTCAGACAAGTTAATGCTTTAACGTGTTTCAGTAATGGCTCCCTTTGTTCCTCTGTAAAAATGGAATGCACACACAAATCTCCCAACGTAGGGCAAACTAATTTTTTAAACTACAAGTGACAAATTCTACTCACGGCAATACCAGAAAAAAACTACAGTACATTTCCACAAAGATCTGCAGAAGCTGCTCTCATTTAGGGTCAGTATAAACGAAGAGCAGCCTAGCCTTTAGTGCTTACAAACTGAGACCACTTTTTCATTATGAAGCAAACACACACGTTTACAGAGAGGCAAGGGATTACTCCATCTTCCATCACTTGTGCACTCTGCTGCAGGTTTCCCTTCCAAGCTGTATCCTCTCTCGCAGAAATATGCTATTGTACTGCCAACTGTATTGTTTTCATAAATCACCTTCCCATTCAGCAAGGAAACTGGAACTTTGCATCTGGTCTCTGCAAAAGACGAGCTCTCATTAATCCAGCCTGATATTAGGCCTGGACTTCCAACAATTCCTGAATTACTCAAACAATATGTTTAAAGTAGCAGCCACAGACTAATAAATCATGAAAAGCATTGAGAGAGATTTAAGTAGCCCTGGGAAGGAAATGTTGCCAAGCCAGGGAAGGAGCTCCTCCCAGTGATGGAGAAAAGTCACAGCCACATGTTTTTCAGGTCAGCAAAATGTGACAGCGCTGGGGAAGAGAGGACACATTTATGACTTCATACTGGCATGAGTGGGGCAGAACATGGAAATGGTTCTTTCTTGCCACTGAGAGACTCCAGAAACTTGCAGCCTTTTATGCCTTCCTTTTCACCTGACAAGAAATACTAGATGAGACACAGGATGGGTTTGGTGCAACATGCTGAGACTTAACATTACTAATTGCTCCCCTCAGGATTCTCAGCTGTGTTTCTGAGGCCAGCATGTAGACAGTCCAAGTCAGGCTACCACTCCTACACAAGAGACTCTGTTCTGTGTCTTTTTCCATTTGATTTTCCTAGGTGGTCTGTGTAATGGGATGACTGAAGATTAAACTATCAGACAGACACAAGGCCATCAGGCAGGAGGAAGAGAAGAGCTGGTGAAGTGGCTGTGTTCAAGTGGCTTGTTCAAGATGGTCTTCTTGACATCCGTTCAGCACTGCTAGTGTGTGACTTTTCTTAGGTGCCTGGCTAGGTACTAGAGACCTCTTCTCTGATGTCAATGTCCCCTATCAACTTTCCAGGTTGCTATATAAGGCCTGCAAAGCATTAAGGTATTGTAGTTCACAGCGATCTGTGCATTGTGTGGTTGCCCAACACTGCATCTGATGGTCTCTAGCCCTCATGCAGTTTTCCATGGCTCTGGTGCAGGAAGCTAACACCTGCCTTGAGTGGAAGATCATTATGTGTCTTACTTTGGTGAAGCTGTCACAGCACGCTGGTCCCCTCTGAATCTGTGTGTGCGGCTGGGTGAGGAGACATCAACATATCAGCTCCATGTAAGAATGCTAGGAGGAACTATGAAAAGCAAGCAGGACGCTGGGTCTAGAGTCTAGCTTGGGAGACCTAAGGTATATGGAGCAGGGACACGAACAGCCTGAAAGGAAGTGCGATGGGCAAGAAATGAACTAGTGTGCTTCTGAGAGGAAAGGGAAAGTGTGAAGCCCAGATTTTCATGGCAGAGGCCAGAAATGGAGAACACTCATACTCAAAAATTAATGATACTGCAATTTACTGCATTACATTTTGAACAGAGTCATCCAGCAGTCCAAGTTATCTGTTCAAACTTAAGATGTTTTTGTTATCTTTTCGTGTTGGCAGCAGCCTTGTTTTTACCCACTAGTGCTCACTCTGTAAGAGACAGTTCTTGCTTGGCACTCATTCTGCTTTGTGGCATGAGCAATAAGACCTACTGATGGAGCACGTGAAAGCAGTGATTTTCAAAACAGTACATATCATGCATTCATGATGTTCATTCATGTGAGGAGTGTTCAGGTTAAAGGCTGAGCTGTTGAGACTGTCCTTGGGGCCCAAAGTTCAGAAAAAGAATATCAACTTAATAATTGACTACAGAAGGCCGCTGCGAGAAAAGTCACTTGTCCTCACAGACCATCACCTTTTGTTAGGAGTTTGATTTTCTGAGATGGCAAGTAACCTCATGTCTCATTAAGCCTGTTAAACTGCAGATTAAAACCTTAGGACAAATGATGCCTAAGCTCTTTCTGGCTTGGTAACAGGCAGTGCTCCTTGTGACACATTTCATTTCTCAAGCACCATTTTTAATGCATTTTACAGACTTGTTTCCTGAAAGCAGCTCAATCCCTGGATCATATGATATGCATGCATAAGGGAGGAGCTATTGCTCATCCCAGATTGGAATGTGCCAGGCCATGAAACCGAACAGTTACCTTCACACAACGGCAAGGGTTTACTCCAGCTCCCATTGGCAAGACATGTGATATTGTGGGGCCCAACAAGATGGTATCCAGAGTTGCACACAAAGGTTACATTACTTCTGTATGTGCTTCCTGTAGAAATGGCCTCCGCTTTTTCTATTGAAGGATGAAGCCCACAAGTAATTCCTAGGAGAGAAAAAATTTTTTTGGTTTTATATAGACAACGAAGGCCATTCTATCTGTTACACACTGTCTGACAGCTCTGTCCACACACTGAATTAATGGAAAGATGGGAAGAAAGAAGTTGTGAAGTGTTATACGGAGAAGGGTTATACAATGACTTTTCTGCTCTCTCCTGGAGTTCAGGCTGCAGACACCTGAGAGAAAATGTGCTCAAATGTATTTGATGGTGTTGTAAGATGTGTTCAATCAAACAGAATGATCCGGAATATTTCTTCTGAGCAGGCCAGAGGCTGCATTTGCAGTCTCCTTTGCTCCCTGTACAGTGGAAGGTGATCTCAAGATGTCCCCAAGAAAAATGACAGTAGTTAAGAAGGATCTTGTCCCCTGTCCCACACATACAGTGGAGACCAGGCAAATCGGTCAAAGGTGAGAGAGAAGAATGCGAGGTGTAGGACTATGACATCACCATGAGGTGATGGGAAATGATTTATTGGTAAAGACTATAAAGTCTTGGCATTTTATTTAAAAAGCTGTATGAAATAAATTGTAAATCCTTCTTTCTGTGGTCCCACAACTAATCACCTTCTGCCACACAGAGAGCCAAGATTTGATCCTAGGGAGCAGAGTCTCAATCTCCAGCCATACAAAGTGGTCAGGATATATTAGTCCTGGCACGGCAGAGACGAACCATCCCAGCACATGATGTCCAAGGCCCTGCACACCACAATGCACGGCAAATCAAATACATCAGGCCACACTCCTCCCCTACTGACCGGAGCACGACTCTATGCTTGTGCTATTTTAATGTGCCAAAAGAAGCTCCATTCAGATCAGAGAGGAACTGCCAGTAAGGACTCCTCTGCTGGCTTTTCCTCTGACTCTTCCTGTTACAACCCTCCAGCTGGAGGGGGACACTGGGAAGAAGCCAGCAAAAGCACTCTCTCAGTTTGTTCCCTGGCTCTCCTGGAAAACTGCCACCACATTGCTCTGCTTGCTGCTTACGTGTGCATGAAGGGGCAGAGGGGCTCCACTTTTTGTCAACGTGGCAAATCCTTCTGCTTGGTCCCTGTAGCTCAAAGCCAGGCTCACAGCTGTAAAAAACCTCACTGCCAAACAGGAACTCCTCTCCCTGGATAGATCCATTTTCTATCATGTCCGGGGGTCCACAAGATACTCCTATAATATAAGAAATGTGTTCCAATCAGATATCATGCATATGGTCTGTCCTGTTCACATCTCCTTCACTGGTTTTACTCTGACGAACAGGGAAAGAACACAGTGTTTATCTGGGCATTTGGAGATATTTGTCCCTAAGTAACAGAATACTATCATGCTTGGTACTTTCAGTTCCTCCTGAAAGACAAAATCTATTGTGGCTATGTTTGCAGGAAGACTTGGGAAATTCCACTGTTGCCACTACAGCCACAGCTGAAGTCCACATAAGTATTTATGTAGACAGCTCCTATTTTGGCACTGCAGTCAGTGGGCATCAGATGTCTCACGGAAGTGAAGTACCTTTGAGAATGAGTTACATTTGAGGATGCTAAGTACCTGTGACTCCTGGCAACTAATGTGTTCAGAGGTCCTCAGTAACTCCAGAAATCATGACCTCAAGTGTGAGAACTATATAAACTTGGAAGCTGTCTGCACAGCCTTCTTATGGATACAGGAGCAAGGCAGAAAGGTGTAGTGATTTTCTTCACACTATTACCTTCACAAACCAGCAGTTCTGCAACTCTTCCAAGCTGTTATCAGTGGTACTTACAAAAAATCTTTAGGCAAAGGCAGACAATATGAGTTATGAAGCAAAACAAACATTAGTGTTTTCTGTTGTGCAAAATTACCCTTGGCCAACATTAAGTGATAAACCCAGGCAGAACATACTTCTGCACACCGGCACTGTGCTGCTCCAAAGCTTGTCTTCTTGGCAAGTCCTCTCTGCATCACCCTGTGAAGCAAAAGAAAATGCTCAAAGAACAACTTTACTTAGTCAATTCTTTTCTCCCATCAACTCTAGCACCTATAAAATCCAAGACGTTTTCTCTCCATGTGCAACCGGAGAGAGATAGTTAAATGCTACAGTCCAAGTCTACTAGCAGAGTTTAGGGTAGAACTCTTTCCTGCTAAGTATTGAGTATTGTTTATAAACCAAAAGTTTGTGGGGCTAGTTAGTCAGTTCTCTTGTCTTTCTCTATGGAGTATCGTCTTTGTTGTCAGTTCTACCATTCCCAGGAATGTGTTATGACAACAAATTTTCTCCTTCCTAGACTGACTTACAGAAAGTCTAGCTAGCGTTTTTTTCAACAGCAGTACAAGCATCTGTTTTATAAAAGTAATGTACTGATTTTGACCACATCCCAATCACTCATTCTTTAAATCTGCTTATAAATAATGTTATTTCTTTCTTACGTATAGGCTTTATAGCCAGTCTAATAGCCCAGGATTTATTTCTTATTTTATTCCAAGACACAGAGAACAATATGTAAATTTGTCCCTTCAGGTAACGTACTTTCATTACAAAGCAAACCCATTGACAACGGCAGTTGTTTGACATAAGCGTTGTATGACATCACACCCAACGGACTTTGCTTCCCAAAGGAAAAAAAAGCAGGATTTCTCTTCAACAGCAGGGAGACAGATTGACACTAGATGGCGAAGCTGCAATACAAAGCTTGGAAGGATTGTTTACTGTATGAAAGCACTGGCTTACTACCTCCAAAAATTACTTGAAACAGCAATTCTACCTATCTGTCTAAATACCAACCCACCCCTCCATCCCCAGTGATATTACATATGTAGCAACATGATGCAAATAAAATTTGTTGTTACTTAAGCATTTCCTAAACTCTCCCTATTTTTATATTCAGTAACTGACTGAATGCACTTCTGACTGGGTGAATTCACATGCATGAAGTTCTTCATTTATTATTGGTGTTACAACAGTACAAAGGAAGCACAATCCTGCATTCTGCTTGATGCTCACAGAACAGTGTTAAAAGCTAGCCTCTGTCCTGGAGACACCTCACCACCTCCTGCCTCTGGATGTAACTATGCCCTTCTCCACCATCACCCGGGGATGGTGGAGGCCACGCCGTACCTCAGCAACATTCATTTCTGAATTCACAGCAGCTTTTGAAAACACACCTGAGGCAGCTCTGAATTTGCTAGCCTGAGTCCTGACAACAAGACAGCAGTGCTGCTCCAGAGCTCAGGTGGGGATAAGATGCTTAATGCTCATAGTAAAAACAATGGACAGGAAAGAACTTTGTTCCCTTCTCCATCAGGGAATACAGCTGCCATTGAGCAAACTGGAACCTCTTTGCCTTACTAAAACAAGAGATATTGCTTTCATACCATCCAGCAATGTCACAGAACTGAGGGCAGTCGAGTTCACCAGGAGTTTTTAATCTGAAAGGCGCAATGCAGCAGGCAAAATGCCTGGGACATTATGAAATCGAGGGAAGAATGTGATCGAACTCTGGCCAAAGAACCAGTTCAAGAGAGCAATACATGAGTAATTAACTCTTGCATGATTTATGGTCACAAGCGTATATAATGCTACATTTGCAGAGGGCTGAAACAACCTTCAGTTAAGAAAAAAACAGCACTGAGAGGTATCTGCTGAACATCTGTCTTTGACAGGATGCTTATATTTGCTTCAATTATATCCCCAAGTGACTCAAGGACTACCCCACACATACCAGGAGCATTCTACAGACAATAACAACAACAGCAGCAGATATCCAATTTCTGTGGCAGTTAAGGGAACATATCAATATGGACCAGACATAATACTTTCTTTACAGTCATCACATAAGAACTGAAAATAACAACTCAAGGTTTAGAGCGCTGGAGATTTGAGCTTGCTTACTTGTAATTCATAGCCAGAATCACATTTATAAAGAACCACATCTTTGTAACTGTATTTAGTGCCAACCACAAATCCATGCTCTGGAGACTCTGGGATCCCACAGGAGACAGGAACGCAGATGTCATCAGAAAACGCTGGCACCCAAATGCCACTCTCCTGAAAAATAAATGTAATTAGAAATGTGAAGGCATCACTTTATATGCTTAATTCATATCTAAACAAAAAAGTTAGGAAAATCATAGTAGAAGCATACAACAGCTGTGGGTGTACAGATGTGGTTAATGTAATATTATCTGTGCAATTCTTAATAAACCTCAGTAACACAAGTAACACTTTTAAGATGTCAACATAGACTGGAACTCAGCTTTGGCAGGAATGTTCAGGTTAGACTTACAATACAGAAGAAACAAAAAGTAAATGGGGAAATAGAAGCTTGGAAAAGCAAGTTCACTTATGCTGGATCACCTAATATCTCAGGGAACATATCAGGAGAAGAATGAAAACTACAGCTGCCTGATTCCACGCTCTGTACTTCTCTCCTGGCTGAATGTCTAACACCATGACCAAGTGCTTCAGCTGCCTTCCCAGACTCTCTAAGGGAAGCCTGGTACCTAAAGAGACATTCTTCAGTGTGTCAAACAAACCTACTCCTACTTCCACAGATCTTTGAAACAGCAAAACAAGGGGAAAACTTTTCCTTATGAAGCGCTGATTCTGCAAAAACACACAGGCTCAGTTTTTCCCATATAAGCAGACTTACTGACTTTAAAGAGTCTATTTGCAAGCTCAAGTCAAGGTTATCCACAGGTAATGTGACCAAAGGTTACTAGCAGAACTGAGGATGTTGGCTTTTCAACATACAGAGGATTCAAGTTTCTACAGCTGCACAGTGGATTAAAATGTATGCTGCCTGTCATTGTGGAGAAAAAGAGCTCTGCATACAATCCTCAGACTACATTAGAAATCTCAGACATGATTTTTTAAAACCTCAGACATGATTTATTCCCTGAAATGTGATAAAAGGAATGCTTTTCTAAAGGACAGTGTTAGTTTTTGATGGAAGATGAAATCAGTAATTTCTAGTTCTGAAAGTCTATACATGGAAAACTAATAATTGCTCTTACTGGGTAACAAGGAAGCATATCATATTTTGCAGGACATGCTTTATTTTTTTTTGTTTGTGCAATTATGGGCCAAAAGCTAACAAGGGCATGAGGAGGACTCTTGAATCCAACAAAGCCAGCAAATAGAACAGTGCAAATAACACTCTACCTTGCACGTAGATGTGCTTGCTCCCACCAGAGTATAGCCTTCTACACATGACAAAGTGATGTTTGTGTTCACAGTGAAGTTGTCCCCAAGTATGATTACATGGGTGATCTTTCCTGGGAGGGCACACTTTCTGGGGCAACAGGAAATACTTTGAGGAGACCACTGTCCATCTTCCTGGCAAGTGCATGTTACATCCACCTCTGTCACCATTGTGTAGCCTTCCAGGCATCTGCAACACAGCATGAAGACCTGACCACAGAGACACAGCTAGGGATGAGCCAACGCATAGATTACAAAGTCAGACAGTCATTTTTCAGCATTAGCTGCTCCTAAGCACACCTTGGGATTTTGCTATTATTTCACAGTAACCCTTTAAGAAGCGTGCCTGGACAGAGCTTATTCTGTTGCAAGAGCTGGAAGCTTCAGACTTCACCTCCAGCTGCTTCATGCTGCTGCATCACCACAAAGGAAAGTGAGTTGGTGGCTTTAGTGCTTGGAGTTCCTGCACTGCCCTTCCCTTTGCAAGGAGGGCTTCTGGCTAGGTAAACACTGTGTGAGCGCCAAGCAATTCTAAAGATGACCTCACTTTCTTCCAAGAACAAACCAAGCCTTAAGCTGACCACAGGCCATTTGCTTAGACATTCAAGACTGATTTGTTCTGTTCCACAAAGTGCTTCACCAAGAGCAACTCAACTGGCTTGTTGAACCCAACAAGTGGGTTTGCTTGCAGGAAGGCAGACACAAGCAGCCTGTTCACCTTGTTAAAGATGCATGGAAATGACTGATTAACTTTATCCACATGCCATCTCCCAGTTCTGTCCCATACTATTATTTGCTTTTACTGACAAAAAACCATCTCCCTTTCTGCCAAGGAATTCCCCACCTTGGAGAAAGATATCTGCAATGTGCAAAATTCAGGAAATTAATAAAACCCCTTTCTCTCGTATCTGAGAAAGAATTAACTTCACATCAGCAACACCTGCTGACAGTGTAGAGTTGCAGTACAGAAAATGGGACAAGAGGAAGATCAGCCTTTCTGTATTACTACAGGCACCTGAAGCAGGAGGAAGATGTAAACCAGGTGTGAAAAGGGGAGAAAATGCACATCTTGCTGATTGTTGCTGCCACCTGCTGAGAAAACATGAATGTCTGGACCAGTGTTTCAGAGGAGGATAAGAGGAACGCAAAATGGAATGTGAAGCCAAAGGAGGTGGAGAACTGCAGCTCAATAGGCTGAAATACCTTGCTGGAGTTTTGACAATGGTCCAAGCAATATTTTAAATGTGCATGGGAATGTGGGCTTTGTCAATCTAAGCATGTGACAGGGCATAACTCTTCTTCCAGGTCTTTTAAAAACTTGCACTAACTGAGGGTGTATAAACCTTCCATCTTAATTCCTTCAGAGATTTTATGGAAACAGAAGGGCAGTAGCATTTTTACCTGTACTGGACCTTGCTCCCATAGGTGTAAGTGTTCCCAAGAACCTCTGCATTTGGGACAGAGGGTGGTGGGCCACAGCTTAGCAGCTCACAGCTTGGGTATGGCTTCTTCCAGACACCAGACTCCACACAAGTCAGTTCTGGACTCCCTTGCATGACAAAACCTGTCAAGCAGGTATAGATGATGGTGTTCTCATCTGCAGAGCTGCTCCCATTGATAAATGTGTTGGGGATGACAGGTGGAGAGCCACAGGAAATCTGTCCGCAGCGAGGAAACCCAGAACTCCACTTGCCAGCTGCCTCACAGGTGACTTCAGAAGGCCCTAGCAGTTTGAAGCCCTCCAGGCATTGAAACTGTGCGCTTTTCCCACAGCTGAAATCTGCACCAAGAACTACTCCATTCTGAACATGTGGTGTAGGACACAGACAGGGTAGGCAAGATGGAGGGCTTCCACTCCAGGAGCCATTGGACAAACATTGCCGTAAGTGATTGCCATGCAGTTCATAACCAGGGAAGCACACATACTGGGCAAATTCTCCATAAGTAAAGTCTGAGCCATTCAGAAAGCCATGGGAGATGTCTTCAGGAGGTCCACAAATGACTGGCTCACAGTGTGGAGCTTCTGAATCCCAGGTACCATCACTCTGACAGGTAAGCATAGACACTCCTTGCAGGCTATATCCTTCGTTGCAGTGATAGTGTACTTCTTTCTTAAAGCCAAAATCTGAGCCACTAACCCTCCCATTGGGAAGAGGCAGTGGCACAGGGCAGGTCACAGCTTTGCAAACTGGAGCGATTCCACTCCAGCTTCCGTTTGCAAGGCAAATTCTACTCCTGTCCCCATCTAACAGGAAACCTTCATTGCAGCTGTACTCTGTACGTCTCTGGAACATGTACTCCTCTCCAGTCACCTGACCATTCTCCAAAACTGGTGGTGGGCTGCAGGAAACAGGAATGCAAATCGGTTCACTGCCATCCCATTTCTGGTTCTCTTGGCATCTCCTCTCTGTGGGGCCATTTAACTGGTATCCAGGATCACACTCATAGTAGACAACACTCCCATACGTGTAGTTTTCCCCTCTTACGTTCCCATTCATAAGCTTGGTAGGTGAGTTGCATGTTACTGCTTCGCAGTATGGAGCAGTGTTACTCCACTGCCGACTTGGCAAACACAGTCGCGTGTCGGAGCCAACAAGCATGAACCCTGGCTTGCAGGTGTACTGCACCACGCTACCGAGCGTGTTCTCGGTGAAATGTAAAAAACCGTTCTCTGGCGGTGACAGCAAAGTGCACTCTATTGAAACGCAGGCAGGTGCAGTGCCGTTCCAAGCTCCATCTTCTTGGCACGCTAGGACAGGGTTTCCCAGCAGCTCATAGCCAGAATAACATGTGTACAAAATGATAGTTCCAAATAAGAAAGTGGTGAGCTGCATTGCACTGTCCTCCTTCAAGGGACCTTTGAAATCTTTCAGACTGTCGGCCAGTAGCATATGCGAAAGGGAAGGACTCTCTGTAACACTCTCCTGGTCAGAACGTCTTTCCCCATGTCTCACCTGCATGTACTCCCCAAAGTCAATGTGAGGAGGCAGGCCACAGTCTGTTGGGAGGCAGGCTGGTGTGGAGCTAGACCAGCCCGATTCTTCACAGGTCTGCATGGCAAGGCCAAACAGCTGGAAGCCTGGCACACAGCTGTAAATGACCATGGCCCCATAGCTATAATCCGCACCTTCCACAAAGCCATTCTCGATGGGCTGAGGGGGCTGGCAATTTATGGCTTTGCAGGAGGGAACCTCTGTACTCCACTCTCCTGTCTCGAGGCATCTCAGCGTTTCCTCCCCTTGGAGCTGGAAACCTCTGTCACAGGAATATCTAACAGTCTGCCCATAATGGAAGTTTGTGAATGAGTATTTGCCATTGAGGATCTTCTTAGGCCTCGGACATTGAATAGGTTTGCAAGCAGGCTTTCCTCCAAGCCACTGGCCATCTTCTCCACAGAGGATAGTTGTGTTCCCCACCAGTTCGAAGCCCGGTTTACATGTGTAGAGGGCTGTGCTAAGGAAGGTGAGGCCCTGCACATCAACAATGCCATTCTGAATTTCTTCTGGTTGGGGGCACTCCACAGGAATACATTCTGGCAAAGGCAAGCTCCATGAGCCATCAGCCTGGCATCTGATGGTAGACTCACCCTTCAGTAAAAACCCATCCACACAGATGTATTTCACAGTGCTACCAAAATGAAGGGACGAAGTCAAGGGGTCACCAAAGGGGATGTAGGGAGGTGCAGGACACTGTACAACCTTGCAGAAGGGAAAGGAATCATTCCACTGTTGGGAGGGCAAGCATTTAAGCACAGAGGAGCCATGCAAAACATAACCCTCCTTGCAGGAGAACTGTACAACACCGACTTGGTAAGTCACTTCCCTCAAGACCAGATGGTTTTCTGCCAAGGGTGGTTCTGGACATTTTGTTGGCACACACTTTGGGCTTTGCTTTTTGCTCCATTTCCCAGACTTCTGACATGTCCAAGAAACATCTCCAATCAGCTCATAGCCTTCATCACAGAAGAACTCAACTTTGGAGCCCATATCAAAAGTTTCTCCCTTGGAATAGCCATTCTGGATAGGTGGTGGTTTTCCACAGCTGAGGGGAACACAGTAAGGAGGTGATTCACTGTACCATTGCCGATTGGCTTGGCAGATAAACACTGAGCTCCCAACCAACTGGTAGCCAGATTCACACTGATAATTTGCCTGATTCTCAAAGAAGCGTCCAGTTATTTCCTGCAAAACAGATAAGATGGGGACATGTTTGAAATAAAGATGCATGACTGGGCAATAGGAGGCTGATTTCATTTCTTGTGTTCTCTTGGTCTAGCTCCTAGCTGAATCCCAGACCGCAGTAAAGGCTGTTTGCAAAAGAATGAATGTAAATAACTGACACAGAACATCTTGCCTCAAATGATGCACTCTACTGTCAGGAAATTTGAAAGCACTATCAAAAGAAAACAGAAAATTCAAGGCTTAAAAGGTAAAAGCTACAAAATATTTCCTCTGCTTTCTCTCTTCCTGACCCATGACGCTGAAAGATGTGTAGACAGGAAGACAGAAAAGAAATGAGTCAGAAGAAGGTGGCATGAAATGGCCTATTGTTGTTATAATTCTTTAGCTTACTAGTATTCAAGGTTTCTAGTATTCAAGGTTAGAGCCTTCAGTTGTACTACTACTAGGAGATGTTTGTAAGTGCCACATATGTAGCTGCAGGGTCTTGAGCAGGCAGCTGAGGAGCCCCTCAGAGTTGCAGGCTGAGCTCCGACTGAGGTATCAAAAAATGTTTCTAACTGAAAGGAATATCTGAAGGAGTGAACCCACCTAAGGAAGACGACACAGAGTAATATGCACTAATTACAGGATGTATCTGCGTGAGAGTCTGAACAGAAATTGTTGCTATTACTGATGGAGGGCCATGCAGGAACTGTGATGCAACTCCCTGCCCCCCTCAAATTTTAGTAAATGCAAATTTCCTGGTGGCTAGATTTAAGGAAGGAGGGGGGGATGTTCAGAAGAATAATGCTTTAAAAATTCAAAGTCACATCTTTACGATAGTGGTTTTGGTCTTTCTTACCACAGTATTATCCCTGTGCCTCAAAGCACAACACAGGTTAAGTAGCTGTTACAGGTTTGGGCTGCCACAAGAAGATTTTTAACTTCAGGCATTGTTGCAATGTAATTTGATAAGGAAAGGGAAGTTCTGACTTCAGTAAAGAAGTGTGCTTGCATTGAAAGGTGGGAAATTATCCCAAGGTGACTTTTCTATTGCAAATCAGCTTGGTTTTTTTTCACAGCAGTGAAAAGAGTAAGGCTTGCAAACTTGCAACAGTACTTCAAATGTCTCCAGATGGCACTGGAAAGCCACCCATGGACCAAACAAATGAAGAGTAAGACATTAAGGAAATCAATTGATTGTCACATGGCATCTTGAGACTCCTAACTGAAAACCCACTTTAAGACAGGAAATCCCATGGAAGTGTCGGTGGCTTTTTTAGACACTATTCTGCTGCAAATCCACCCATTTTTACCTCTGCTTAGTCCACCCAATCATGCGATTTCTCAATTTTAACAGGGGAGCAAAACAGAACAAAGAAAACCCCAACAGCGGCAACTGTGAAGACATACTCAGTTTGCTATGGTACCAGGCAGATGAGAAAACTCATTCTGTACCTTAATAAAGCCATTCTCAAGCTGTGGTGGTTCTCCACAGGACACTGGGTGGCATGTGGGCAAACTGCCACTCCAGTTGCCTGTGGCCTCACACGTCCGCTTCTTCTCTCCCTTGATGTAGAACCCCTTGTTGCAGCTGTAAGCCACCACTGCTCCGAAGCTGTAGTTGGCCCCACTGGCGTAGCCATTGCTAATGTGGGGAGGCTCTCCGCAGCGAACGGGGATGCACTGGATGCTCAAAGGAGAAGGATTCCACTGGCCCCCTCGAAGGCACTCGATCTTGGCTGAAGTGTTCAGAACAAAGCCTTCCATGCACTTGAAGCTCACGATGGAGCCAGCTGCAAACCTTGCTTTACTAATGGACTCCAGGATGCTGTACGAGACGGTGGATGGCTTTTCACAGAAATCAGCTATGCAGTGGGGCATCTCCCTGCCCTCTGGAGGCACCCACTTCCCTTCTGCATTGCAAAGCAGCTGAGAGTTATCAGCCAGGCTGTAGCCATCTGAGCAGAAGTAGTAAGCTATATCGCCAAAGAGGCGGTGGCCACTCTCTGGTGATGCATTTTCCACATGGGGTGGTTCATCACAGGATACTGCCAGGCACTGCTGGTGGCTTACACTCCACTTGCCGCTGGCTAAGCACTCTATGGTTGCAGGGCCAACTAACGTGTAGCTGTAGATAAGGAAACCACACAGAAGTCAAAAAGACAAGCACTGTTAAATGCTACCTACAGTTTCCTGAAGCCCCTGCAGTACAAGCTTGCTTGCTAGCTCCCCAAAGCATAGGATCCTTTACAAAAGCTATGATTAACTTCAAAACGAAAAACTTAAACCCTACATGTCCATGGTTGAGGAATTATAATGAGGCATATCCTAGCACACCTTGTATATATTACTTCTCTCTCACTTGTCTACCTGATTACGATTCCTGAACTTCAATTTTGGTTGAAACTACTACAACAAACCTAGTATTGTGCTGTGGCAGTCCATGCAATCCTGAAAGAAGCAGTCCCACTGAGAAATTCTCCCCCTTTAGCAGAACTGAATGGAGAAGAAAGAGATGACAAGCCCAAAAAGGCCTTTTCAGTGCCTGTATCAGCCCTACCAATTTATTTTCACACTTGCAAACAATGAGAAACTCCTTAGTGAGTTATGCAGAGATGCTCTAGCTAATAATGCACATGGCAATTTTTTAACAACTTCTTCTAAAAAATCACTGTAAAAATTGTTATAAAAGCCAATTAAAAAATTAATGCTGAGTAGAAAAAAAATATCAGCTTTCACAATGAAATTCTACTGCATGATTACTGTTAGTGTAGTTGTATTTCTCTAATCTGTCTCTGGGATGCAGTGACAGGCATTATTTCTGTCATCACCCCACTTAAAACCCTGCTGCTTAAACACACAACAGAATAGTCACGTACCTGTGACTATCTTCTTCCTCAGTTTTGAAATCTCTGCGGTGTGCTCTTACAGAAGGCAAAGAAAAATAACTACTACAAAGCTCCCAGTGACTCTTTCCAGCTGCAGGCTGGAAACTGGTTGTTCAGATTTTGATGGCAAGATCTGTAAAAGTGTTTTGTCTTGTTTGCAGAATTTGTTTTCAAAGCTTTATGACTATTATTTCAAAGCTTTAGAACCTATTATGTGCCAATGTTTGATATGATCCACTTTATTAATTGTCACAGATAGCTATGAGCCTCTTTAAATGCTGCTATTCTGTCCCATTTAAAATGCTTGCACAGGAAAGAGAAGCAGCTTTAAAAATAGTAATACAGTCAAGAAAACAGTATAAGGAAGCTTTGCTTCAATTATATTTCAAATAATATTGCAAAGCCAGTTTACAAGAAAAACGTTGGCTTATCAATCTGCCTTTTTACATCAAGAAAGAGCAGAAAATCCTCCAGTTGCTTAGGGCCTGACCTGGCAAAAACTCAGAATACCTGCTCTGCCTTTTGGACAGTCTCTGCCTGGGACTAGTCACAGACTAAGCCTGTGCAAATGTTCTTGCAGGACCAGAGTCCAGCATTACGTTCATGCTTGACATCATCAAAATGGAGCCTTATCTTTGATGAAATACACTCTGAAAAGATCACTACACTGAGTAGATGGAAATCAAAGAAAAATAATGCACCTCAATAAATGAGAAATCAGAGTTTTAAGGAAGCACAATTGAGAACACTAAAACAGTTCTCAAAACACACCAAAAAGCTTTCTTATAGCCTGAAGAGACATATGGAATTATGATCAGGGCCCACAGAGGTAGTAGTTCTGCAGTAACTCCAAGGGAGAGGGCTTCCTATTGAATAGGTCTATCATTCCCCATGACTTCTCTCCTTTCTCCTCTTGCAGTGTGCATTCAGCTGCCATGAAACTACTTCAAGAAATGCTTATGTGTCCTGTACTAACTTCACAGCCCACAAAAAATTCTCCATCACATTTAATTTCCAGAGAGTTAAGACAGAAGCAGTAAGAATGATTTAGTGTGCAGTCATAACGGACTTGTGAAGCAGTGCACATTTTGCTTGTCCTGACTATTAGTCCAGTGGTGCTAATCTACATACCCTTCCTTACACGTGTAAGAGATCGTGTTTCCAAAAGTAAAGTTATTTCCATTGATGACTGCATCTTTGATGGCAGGAGGAGATCCACAAGAGACAATGTCGCAAGCTGGAGGTGTGCTGTTCCAGTTCCCTGAAGATGCACAGACAAGTACAGAAGGTCCCTGAAGGCTGAGACACAAAGACCATTATTAAGGCTGTAATTTCAGTCTGGGTGAGGAACACAGAGGGAAAGAGGTGTTTTGCTTCAAACTGACTTCCTGGCCCCAGTGAAACCAAGGGTAGTCCTACGCTGATTTCAGTAGAGGCCAGTATCTCACCCTCTGTTCCTGAGAAAGCACTGCTGGTGCTGTCAAAACAGGTCTGGTCTTCAGATTATTTTGTCGAGAGGGATGGTGGAATTCATGTGGGGCCTCAATGCTTTGTGCAGGCACACATATAACTTCTGCTGTAGTTTTGCCCATCTTAGAGCCACCAAAGAAAGCCACAGGGTGCTTAAATATTTATTTAAGCTTAAAGATTTACTTGTATGCCATCAACACCATGCCAATCTTGAGATTTGCCACTGAGACCTTAAAATGCTACCTTCACTCAGAAAACTGAAGGAAATGCTCCAGTTCTGGTTTGTTTACGAAAGACATTCAGTTCCTTCAGGAGGCAAAGGATTATGCTTGAGTGAATGGCCACATACTTTTGAAGTTGGTGGTATTTTTTTGTTTCCATAGCTGAGCAAACAGCAATGCCCTAGTACAAATGGAGTGACTCAGTTGTCTAAACAGAGGTATTCAACACTACCCTGAGATGCCCTGGGTGAAGTCTCTGACCTTCAGCTGCTATGTCAGCTGGCTATGAATTCCCAGTAGGTCCCATATAATATCTGAGAGCCTTACACAGGTGTGTCTGATTCCCTACAATTTAGTCTCAAATAGTAGTAGATGCTCATGTTTGTTCAGTTGACTAAAATAAGCTCAGGAGTTGACAGAAGACAAAACCACTGACCTGTAAAGCTTCTACAGATATGACAGGTCCTTGTGTGGGTTCTGCCTATCTGTGACAATATGTTTAAGACAAAAAGCATGTCAGAGGTGCTCGAAGGAAGAGGCTGGGTCCACACTTAGGTCCAGAAATAAAGCATACGAGAGACACTGTTTGGGAGGGCCTCCCCTGCAGTGGTGACTACAGGAGAGAGAACTTCTCTCACCAAGCTATGCTAGACAGGTAAAGGGAA